AAAAAAAAAAAAAAAATATGCAAAGATAAAAAAGAGTAATTTACTAAGAAACCATTAAGCATAATTTTGTCATTTTCTAGAGGAAAAATGTTAAGCATTTAGACATACCATATAGCTTTGACTAGGCCATTTAAATGAATTTCCCCGGCAATTGCTCCGTCGTGAAGAAGCCACAAATCCAGCGGCGGAAGAAAGTTTTTACGCCATCATAATCAATGTGCATCTCGCTTGTTGCCAGAGTTTTATCTGGATCCTGCCTCGCCCCCCGCCCCCTCTGTAAAATTTGGCACGGCGTTTAGAGGAACATAAACGCTAGGTGGTGATTGATTGACGAGATTTGTTTTTATGGCTACTAACCTGAATCCGAGCCCGAACCACCATGCGAGTTCATTGCTTCTTCCGGAGATCGGGCCTGATGGCCTGGCGCAAGAGTCACCTGTCATTGCTTACACCGAGAGGGTTTATTACTCTTCATGCCTTTCGAAATATTATTTATTTAGTCATTTGCATCTCAAATTATGTAAGAACTTGGGTGATTGATTTTATTTTTCAAATTGCATTTGGATTTCAGATAATTGAGGAAGAACAGCTTCAGTTGAGGAAGTAAGTTGACTTTCATCACCATTTCAGTAATTCCTTTTGGATATAATATTCAGATATTTTCTTGTACTTTGGTATGACTGCTTATGGATTGGCGTTCTCCATTCGACTCTATTATACATAATTGGGCATTTTGTAACAGTGTACTTTGCTGCCCTGAAGTATTCATGTTTTGTATTTATTAATGTTTGTGCTTTTGATGGTTATTTGATTATGCCTTTTCATTTGGAAATTAATAACTATTTTGTCGGTCACATGTGTCGGAGCTATCTTTTGTGTGGTGTTGCTATTGAGGATAGGGAGACCTTTGAATTTGATTTTATAGACAGAAGCACATATCCTTTTCCATGGAACTCGTATTGTTTCGTAAATCATATCCTCTCGGGTTATAGTGTATCATTTCCTTCAACTTTCGTCAGCAATGTCGATAATCAGGAATTTAAAAAGTTCAAGTAGAAAGAGTACGCCGGCCATATAAGCAAACTTAGAGCTGAGATTTAAACATTTATGTTCTTAGAGCATGGAAAATAATGTTAGGTCCTGATGAGGAACCCCATTACACATTGGTCATTTCTTTCATTCCTTAATGTTACTGAAAACATAAGTTTAGAGCAAATCTATTGCTTCTTAGAGGAGTGAGATTGGGCGTCTACAGAAAATTTCACTGGTTATGAGCTTGGAAAATCATCTGTTTTCATTTCATATCTTATAGATTCGAGTACCAAACAATGCTCAACTGGATGGGATCGCATCAGTAGAGCGTTATTAATTGACCTGTTTTCCTGCTAAAATGGTTTTTTGTCCGAAAATATAAGATACGTTCAGTAAAGCTTCAGGTTCTTGGTCAAAATTTGAGACATCGTTTTGTAGGTTTTCCGTTGTTTCTCTAGGAAACAATAGGAATCTGTTTTTAGTAGTTCTCTGTCCACGGAGCTACTTAATTCAGTAAATAATGTATCGATATCCTGACTGGCTAATTAAATGTCTAGATATAAGTTTCACCTTACCTAGTGATCCAATAATAGTTTACGTACATTTATCTAGATACATTGACGAAAATTACTCCAAGATTCGTGATGTTGAACGAGAATTAGCAAATCTATCATTGGAAATGAAGCTTACTGCTGGACCAAAGAAAGCAGGTATGGATATCGTTGACCATGGATGACTTCTGACTAGCTATCCGAGTAGCTTTCTAAATTTTATATCTGTGGCAGCACTTGAACACATGCGAAAGAAAATAGAAATGTCAACAGAGAGAATTCGTATTGCTAAACTCAAAGAAGAACAAGCTAAAAAGGTATGTCCTTTTATTAATAGAAAGCAGGAATTGGTTACTGATAAAATTGTTGTATGGCCACGATACAAGAAACACATGAAACATTCTTGAATTACAATATTAGACCTTCAGTATAGTTTTTATCTATTTTACTGATCACTGCTCAGTTTTAAGAAGTATACGATGATTACATTACTCATTTTATAAACGTTTTGTAGAATGAATTTGCTAATCCGTTCTGCAGTTTGTTTCTGTAAACGCTATTCTGCTACTTCTAGAATCTCATTTTTGCTCACTTGGTTCCTATATGAGGATTCTTTTGTTGAATTCTCATTTCATGTCGGTGAACCGTGAATTTATATTTAGAAATATCTATAGAACGAAATCTGAATTGTAATTGCGTTTTTGCTTCTGTTCTGGCTGTTTATATGATCTATATATTTCCGAACTTTAATTTAAATTTATGGTAGTGATTCACCTAACTATGTAGTTTATATCAACACTTTAGTCTATTTCTCATGTCCTTTATTTAGGTGTTTCTAGATCTTAACATGTAAAATATCTTCCATGGTGCTTTGCTCATTTAGAGTGCTAAATGCTATATTTTGGCAAAAAATTACCATGTACATATGGAACAGTTCAAATTTTCTAAAGCATAAGAAATAGTATTGCAATCTTGCTTCATCGTATATTTCTATCTAAAACCAAGGAATTTCACCTGATAATTAAAGAAATCTTAATTCATTTTTTATGTTACTACTCTTAGTTTACAGTACAAATGTTGAGGTCTCTAGTGTTGATTCAATTATTTGTACACTTTTATGTCTCCTTTTGTTTTTACTCTTTCTGAAACGAGATCACTTGTTTCTACTTACATTACTATATCTGATAATTCTTCTGCCAATCACAAGGCTTGGGAAGCTGCTGCTAAAGTTGTGCAAGATGAGGAAGCAGCGAAACAGAAGCTTTGTGAAGATTTGAATAAACTGGTGAAAAGAATTTTATAGAAACATGTTGTGTTTATTTTTATGGTTCTTATATTAAACGATATTTGTTTGCAGGTCCAGGAAAGTAGCAATACCCAGCTTTCTAGATTGGAGGAATTGAAACGCCGACTGGAGGCTCTGAACCCAAGCAGATCATCTACATCGGTTTCCTCTGTAAGGTTTCTCTGTACCTGTGTATTTTCATCAATGAGTTCTCGTAATTTGGTCGCTTACTTCCAGTTCATCCTTTCTAGGTGAAATTCATCAATAGATATGAGAATCTTGAATATATCTTTCATCATCTATTTTCTGACCACGATCTCTCGTTGTTAGTTATTGGTTGTCCGAATTTCTTAAATTCCCGAAATCTGACAAAAATAAATGAAAATGATTGCCATGTGCATTCACGTAGTAACTTATCATTAACATCATTATAATATTTAGTTAACTACTTTTACGTTTCAAACTGCGAATAACATGCTAGACATTCCAAATATACCTGTTCTTGGAATTTGTAGGTACACAAACCTGATCAATTTTTAGTGAATTTCTAGGATTAATCAAATAATACCCTACTAACTAGTAACATGAACTTGTTGTTTGCTCATAGTTTCATTTTTTAATTTTTGCATGCTCATAGGTAGATGTACAAAACCAAATACTTCACCTCATTAGTAATTCAGACAGCTGGCATTAATGTTCTCTTCTAACACCGATGTGTAATTGATCTGTCACTCACTCGCTTAAGATTAATACTCCACCTCTAGTGAACCATGATTATCCATAACATTTTATGAATGGCCGAAATCCCATTTTTCAGGACAAGAATTTAATACTCATGCCGGCTGGTACAACTCAAGATTCATCCACTGCTCGTACATCAGAACATTCCAGTGGATCAACGAAAACCACATCCAGCGGAGGAAACACAGTTTCAAATGGCCAAAGCCCACCAGTTTCTAATGGTGGGGAAGGAAGAGGAAAGAAGAACAGCCCTACTCAAGGGAGAATTAAAGGAATAAGAGCTGTGACTAAGGGTAGGAGTCCTGGCTGGACTGGGGCTGGTTTTGATGTAGACGGTCGAGGTTGATTGAGATACATCTTTACAATGAAATTATTTCTGCATATACAGTTTGTTCATTTTTTATTATCAGATGGGTTTCTGGCTCTTTGTCATCATCACTTATACAAGGTTAGTAAAATTCAATGTTTTGATTTTTAATTTTGATCCGATGGGTATTGATGTTGACCATCAGTCATTATTCGTGAACGTTTCTGTAAATATATAAGAGAACCATTTGTGTTATGCATTTGTAAGGATACTTACAGAAACTAAATCTGAGGTTTTGTCTGGTCATTGAACACTCTTTAGTTCCCAAAAATTTTAAATGCCCCCTTCAAAGTATTACAGAATCTCCTTGAGGTTTGTATCCACCTTGTGAATACTTTTATTTTGAGCTTGCATTTTGAGTAGAGGAAAATAAATGCAGAGCATCTGTGTCTCAATTTAATCTGATATTGGTCTATTCACTATTGCAAACCATTTTCATTTGTTGTGATATCTGTTCGTATGTTTTTAAGAGAGATCCAGCGACACTTTCTTGATCGTTGCATCCGTTTTTCTTCATAAAACATGAGGGAGACCATATTGTTACCATTTATATGACAAATGTAATAATACTCTAGCTATTGAACAGCTAAATGTATGTTTGGAAGAATAATATGAACATAAACATACTTTTGTCTCACGGTCACCATAAGACAGTCTCAAGTAGTAGTAACTTGTTAGTGATGAGGCTGGACATATTAGCAATGTAGAGGTTTAGATACCGCCGTATATCATTCAAAATATTAGAAATTTTGTTATATATATATATCTGCCAAGTATTTCGAAAAAACTCTGCACTTTTTAACTGATATCAGTAACTGTGAACCATCAAAATCATCTGCACATTTGTTACATTTACTGACCAACAAAGTAAATGGAGGGCTGATTTTTCGTACAGTATTATTTCGATTTTTTTTTTTTTAATTATAACACAGACATCTCTGCAGGTGTTAGATGGATTATAGATATCACTGGTTCCTTTGTTCCCAAATTGATTAGGTTCTGCCAGTAACATTTTATTTTATTTTTTTAATTTTTATTGTGGATGAGAATCTCACAGATTAGTTGGGGAAATTTGGTTGCTTGAAAACAAATAAAAAGAATAATTAATCTTAGAGGGTGTTTGCCAAAGTTTATTTAAAGGATTTAAAAGTTTTTCTTATATTTAAATGTTTTTAGAGTTAATAAGTTATGTTTTATTTAAGAATAATTCGTTGAATTGTTTGAAATAAAATAGCATTTGAGTTATAAAATGGTTTAAAATGTGAAGTCACGATTCCCCAAACTACCGTTGCTGCTACTGCTACTTATTATTATTATTATTATTATTATTATTATTATTATTATTATTATTATTATTATTATTATTATTATTATTATTATTATTATTATTATTATTATTATTACTATTACTATTATTATTATTATTGTGAATATTGAACGTCTAAATGTGAGATTGGATATTGATTTGATCCAAAAAAATTAATCATTTTAACTAATTACTTTCTTTAACTCAATTTTAACTCAATCCTATTGTTATTGATTGTGATTATTGAACGTCTAAATGTATGATTGGATATGGATTTGATCCAAAAAAAAAAAAAAAACAATCATTTTCATTAATTATTTTCTTTAGCTCAATTTAAGTCAACCCTATTATTCTCAATATTTGTAATATAATTTAATAATAGGAATCAATCATTTTTACAAATCATATCAAAATTAATTAACTATTTATCTACTCACATAATTTTAAACAATTATCACTTCACATAAACACTCTCCGACTTTTACATCAAACCAATTTTGATTAATTTATTTTAAATATTATTTTAATATAAACTTAAAATCTCGCTTACAACTAATTGTACCACATTTTTAAAAATTATTTATGGTTAAAATAAAAACCAAATCAAATCTATATCAACCACATCCTAAATTCTGCATGGTGTTACTATTCACCGCCCCCCTAAAGATCATTTTGCCATTTTCAGTTTTAAATAAAAAAAAAACTCTTTCTCTCTACACTCTTTCTTTGTCCACCTGCCGGCCGAGCTTCGAAAAATCCCAAAAAGACCTCCGAAAAATTTTGGCGAGAGAATGTCATCCGACAAGGTGCGTATGTCATCCGACAAGGTGCGTTTGAGGCGACCCGCCAGTGTACCGGCCGGACTGCAGCCGGCGATCGCGACCGCTAAGGGTCTGGCCAGCCTGACTTTTTTGGCCAGACCAATGTTAGCTGTTTTAGGCGGCCGACCAAGCCTTACATGGCCAAAATGTCCGGTCGACCGAACTTAAACTGGCCGCAATTGCCGGTCGCCCGTCGCAGGCCAGCCGGAGTCGACCGCCTTTTTTTTGAATTTTTAATTTAAATTTTATTAGTATAAAAAAATTGTATTAGTATAATTAATATAAATTATATTACTATAAATTAGAAATGATAATAGTATGGAAAAAATTATATTAGTATAAATTATTATTTTATAGATTAGAATTAATTATCTTATAAATTAGAATTTATTACTATTATGTTAGAATTTAGAAATTATTATGTTATATATTAGAATTGATTGTATTATGAAGTAAAATTTAGTACTATTATGTTAATAGTTAGAAATTATTAAATTATGGATTACAATTGATTGTTTCATAAATTAGAATCTATTACTATTTCGTTAGAAGTTAGAAATTATTGTTTTATAGATTCAAGTTAATTATCTAATAAAATTGAATTTAATACTATTATGTTAGAAGTTAGAAATTATTATGTTATAGATTAGAATTGATTGTCTTATTTAGTAAAATTTAGTACTATTATTTTAGAAGTTAGAAATTATTGTGTTATAGATCAGAATTGATTGTCTTATAAATTAGAATATTACTATTATGTTAGAAGTTAGAATTAATTATTTAATAAAACACGATTTACTTTTATTATGTTAGAAGTTATAAATAATGTTTTTGTAAAATTATTAACATACATCGTAATTTATTGTAGGCGCCACTCGAAGATTTTGGAGGAGACGGTATTGATTACAGACCTGCTTTCACTATAGATAAGCTATTTGATATTTTGAAGAAGGTGTTCAATGGGCAAAAAATTTGGCAATTAAATATGGTTTCGAATTAATCATCTCGAAACACAAAAAAGAAGGAAAGCAGAAGGTTTTGAAGTGTAATCGAGTGAAATGTTACAGAGGCAGTATAGGAGATTTAGTTAAGGCTGTTATCAGACGTACGAAAACTAAAGCGTCCAAATGTCCTTTTTAGATAAAAGTCAAACTGGTGGCATAATATACAAAATGGTGTATCTGGGTTTCTTATGATGCTCAGAAGGGAATGCATAATCATGCAATGGTTGTGTATCCCGAGGGCCATCGGCAGATGAGCAGATTTAACACTTCATCTAAAGAGATTGTCCGTGATATGACTACTGGTCAGGCAAAATCGACAATAATTTACTGGTACGTCATGTCGCATCCTCAAGCAGTCAGTATATTCCGGATATATTACTGGTACGTCAGAATAGATTCGATGTACAAAACCAACAAGTATGTTTCTTTATAAATAACAAATAAATAATACGAATCTTAATTAGTATGTTTGAGTAAGTTTTTTTATCCCATGTTTCCCCGTGTTGCTTTCATTTGCACAAGTACCAGATGCCGTTGGTGGAAATGATTAGGATGACGTCGTGCAACAAGAACTTCTTAATTGTATATGCAATTATCAATGACGAGAGCGAGTACAACTATGACTGGGTTCTACAGAGGTTGAGACTTCTGATAGGGCATGATGTACATCCTTGAGCCATTGTCACTATCAGGGAGTTGGGCTTGATTACTCATATTCAGAGGAATTTCTCAGAGTCTGCCCACTTACTTTGCACGTGGCACATCAACAAGGATGTGGAAGGCATGGACTATCGACTAGTAGGAAAAAATATGGTATTCGCTTAGAAGTTCACGCACGGCAGGTGGAAGAAGGTTGTCGAAGCGATCATGGTGGAGGAATACAATACTGCCGTAGGTGATATGTATCTTCGATACGTGACGTTTTCTCTTGTGCTACAATATGTGAAGCAGACATGGTTAGTCCACAAGGAGAAGTTTGCCAAAGCGTGGACGAATTCTGTTTTACATTTTAGTAACACAACGTCGTGTAGGTTGGAGAGTGCCACACTGTGTTGAAGCAGTGGCTTAACGCGTTGACCGGTTCGCTCGACACAGTGTGTGAGAAGATTCATAAGGAGATTGAGTCTCAAATAATAATAAATTAAATAATTCTTGATTGTGAGTGATCCAATTAATTAATGGACATTATATATTAAACATAAGGAGATAAATCGAGTAATTATTATTGGAGTCTCAATTGTAAATTGGGCTAGAAAAAGGGAGTGCAATAATATATATTATGTTGGTGCCCCTTTAATATTATTTAATTAATTAGAATAAGTGGGCTGACCCACAAGTATTTTAATTAATCGTGGAGCCCTTCTCCTAATCTCCGAAGAGTCCCTACTTAGCTCTATATATATATCATTAAGCTCATGGAAAGAGTAGAGAACTCACAATTACACGCCCCAACGCCCCTCCCCCCCCCTCTCTCTCTCAGTTCTCATTCGAGCTTTATATTCTTCTTGTTGTTCCACCAGTACAAGTTGAAGAGGGTGTAAGAGATATACAGTAGAAGATCAATACGTGTTCGAGACACAATAATCTTCTATAACAGTCGACAATCCCCGAGCCCGAGCCAGAAGGACCGCCGACCGCCGCGATCAAACCGACAGCCAGCAACATGACCAACAAGCCCGATAGACGCGACCTAACCCGGGCGCCCGTCCAGTCCACACGACCCGACTTCGATTGCGAGCTCGACCTCCTGTTCGTGATCCCGACGTGTTCGTGTGATTGTACGGCCATCCGGATGATCAACTAGATCGCCAAAAATTTTAAGCCATAAGTTTCCCAAGCAAACCTTTA